AGCTTGGTTGTGTAAATACAGTAATTATCAGTCATTATATCTGCACCCTGCGCCTCCATGCCTCAAACATGCATGACTTTCTCTGCACCTTTCTGACTCCTTCCTCTCTCCTTTTCCTCTGCTGAACCTTGAGGAGTGGCTGGCTGTGGCTCTTTGCAGTCCATTTCCTAGTGAGGAGGCTCTCAAGTGCAGCCCGAGCCATTATTTGCCTGCACAATGCTGTATTCTCATTAACTCTTATCAAAGTTCATCTTGCATCCAAATGCTGTGGGAAGCTCAACACTGACTGCTCTGAAAATAGAAAATAAGAGGGAGGAAAAGAGAGAGAGGGTGGGGGGGATGGTGTAGATAAAAGAAGGGTGAATAATTGTTTAACAGTGGTTGAGGATGAGCGTAGTCATTGCAGTCCTTTGACTACATTGAGATTAAACTGCTTTGATGCATATTTTTCATGTTTTCTGTAAACAAGTGGATGCTTTTGTCCTTATGATTTTTGTTTTCTAAATCTAAAAAGCATTTAGAGAAGACTTAATTAAAAGCAAAACAAAAAACATTTTTGATAGAATTCAGAATCTTTATTAAATCTTGCTCTCATAATAGAAAGTCCTTGTGTTATTTACTTTCAGTACTGCAGTGAAAAAGAAATGCAAAAGCTGGGGCAGAAAGCGAATAAATAGGAAATGTGAACGCTCTGTTCCACTTCTGGTAAACAGTCGCTGAATAAAGACATGAGATGAGTGCTGAGTGCGGTCCCTCCTTGATTTGTAAAGATGATTAGAAACCCACTCGGTAATTCTGTCTGTTATTTACCCCTTCTTATAAAAATAAACGGTTACTCCTCCGCTTGTATCATCAGATCCCCACAGTACAGCTGGAGCTCCTCATTCAGATGTAAAGAGCGATAATTGGAGGCTGATTGCAGATAGATGAGGACTTTCATCTAAACCCCGGTTTTATAATATCACGTGTGAATTGAAGATTTCTGAGGGACAGGACTTGAGATCTACTGCTCTATTTTCCTATTTGTGGAAAGGACACTAAAAATGTGAAAAAGAAACCTGCTTATTTTATCTCAAATAACACCGTGTTAAAGTTAACATCTTAATAATAACATACGTTGAGATTGCGTTGTTTTGATCAAAACCCTGATTTAATCTCAGGTGGAAACTCTTGTTCATAGAACTGAATTTAGATTTTCATGGTCAAATTAGCTGCTTTTGTGGAAAATATGTATCGTAATGTTACAAAAATCATGGGAATCGTGCAATATTAGATAAAAGCTGAACAGTTCCACAGCAAATATTAAGAAAAACCCACAAAGAAAAAAAAATATGTTTATGTTTGGTTATGTTCAGACCCTGTAGTTCGCAATTAATTTTCACGTTTAAAATCAAGCAAAAGATGCTTGACTGTAAAAACTCAGGGACGTATGCACATGTGATGCATATTTCCCTATCTTTCCCTTTTTGATTTTACGTTTCACCGACCTTTTTTATCTTTATTGTTTAAAGATATTCAAATTTCTCAGTAATTAACAGATTTATGTCAAATATTCACATAGAGACACACACCATCTTGTAGCTACATGTATTTTGAGGACTGATATTAAAACCGGGGCATATTTAAGACTTTTTCAGGCCAATAGGATTATTACATTTAAGGCTTAGTATGACCGTCCAAGACCTCACATAAACCCTGCTCGAGGTAAACGTGTCATTAAAGAGCACTGTTGCCCTTTGTAGAGATTTTTTTTGGCAGTAACACTTTTTAAAGCAAATTAATTTGGTCGAATGTCTTTTTTTAAACTTGTGGGTCACTTAGCTGGGCAGCACATGTTCAGTTTACTCACAGCTCAACCGAGCAAACACTCTGTGGACCTTTCACCCGCTGTCGGGACTCTGCTTCAGCCGGCAGATAAATACCCAGAGGAGACTGTCTAATTCCCTAAATGCCTCCAAAAAATGCAACCATGATGTATTGAATTGAAAAAATATTTTTGGCTTTCCCCGGACCTAGTTCCCCCTACTCGCATATTAAAGCATTTTTAAATTGGCAACTTGTGCTCCTAAAGCTGTATGACTGCTGGTTAAGTTATTTAGTGCACACTGCCGGTGGCCCTGTAAAAATCAGGTCTGCAAGAGGAAGAAAAACTAGTTTACAGGATTAGATGTTGTTTGAAGAAGCAAAAATACAACAAATTGTGTGTGTGTGTGCATGTGTGTTGCTCTGTCTGTGTGCTTAGAGAGAGTTTCAGGTCTTCAGGATGGCACTGTTCGCCTGCTCCCACTTTAATTGGCTGCTGGCCCCTCAGCCTTGCATGAATGGAGAGTCATTTAGAGACCTTTCACTCTCGCAGAGGATTGTCGGCTGCCGCTGAAGGAGAAATTGCATTCCTGTTTCCATACAATAGCTGGACTGAGTTGGAAGGGCCAAGAGTATCACTGTCATTATCATGACAATGGAAGCTAATTCCACTGCCACCAGCGCCATTCTGAAACCCTCTGCTGCAGCGCCGGCTTATCGGGGGGCACCATGAGAGCAGCAGGAAACCGAGCGAGCAAATCATACGAGGCAAATACTCGCTCATTCACTGTACACTCTCAGGCAGACTCTTAAACATTCTGCACTCGCAATCTTTGTAGACAGCCAAGAACTAACACATCAGCAGAAAAAAAAAAGAAAGAAAAAGTTTATTACACAGCACATCTCATTTAATGACACAGTGTGAGGTCAAGCTTATTCTGCCTCACTCTAATACCCGCAGCTCTGGAGATGTCCTTGTCGAATCGCCGTTTACGTTGTTGGAAGAATGAGGGACAAGAATGCACCGTGAGTTATTTCACATTGGTTGTATGTTTTTGTGTGACGCATCAATCAGAGATAACGCACACTTTCAGAGACAGAAATTTGAGGAAATTGAAACTCAGTGGAGCACAAGCGTAATTAGGAGAGTTTAAACCTGTGAGCTTGTTGCTGTTTTTCATTTGCATCATTTCACCACTGTGTCTGATGGCCTTTTTTCAGCCTTTTACACGTTTCTTCGTATGAGGCACCATCTGTCATTCTGACATCTCTTTCTCTGTCCAGCGTGATTTTCCACCTCACATTCATGTGGAGGTGAAACCTTTAACTTGGACCCTGTTTTCCATGAGTTTGGAAATAAGATGTTGAAACCTTGGTTTACTGAGAACTCCATGACCAGAAGCTCAGTGGGAAGCTGTAGTTCGATTAGACAGAGAGGACATCTGTGTCAGTCTGCTTGTACATGCAAACAGGCTTGGATTGTTACTGTGAGTGCTGCGTGATAATTGGAAAGATGCTTACAGAGGCAGGACTTTTTGCTTACACACTTAAATTAAAGTTCTCTTTCATTGCACATAAATAATGTCTCCTAGAAAAAATCGAAACCCAGTAGCAGTGGTTTTTGCTGAAGTGGGAAGAAAAGAAATCTCATGAAAAGAAATGGTTTTATTTACAAATCAAGACAATCTGTATTAATGGCACTCCAAGCTATTTCTATGAAGTATATGTTAAGCATTTTTGTGACTCATTCACTGCCATGCAAAAGCCAGCCAGGTTTCCTCTGGTTCTTGCTGTTTTTTTTGTTTTTTTTTTGTAGAAATGCTTAAATCTTAAATCTAAGTTTTAATATCAGACGACAACTAGACAGACAAAGAATTACATTTATTTATTAGTAGAAATAATATATTTGCATGAACCGAAAAATTAAATTGCCTTTATGTTGACTCATAAATTAACTACCAGCTAATCACATTTTTGGTTCAATTTTCAGGCACACTTGAGTAATACCTGACCTGACCTGACCTGACCTGCAGACAGAGGTGGTCCTAGCTTGTTAGGCACCCTGGGCAAACAATCCCACCGGCACCCCTAACCCCCTAACCCTCATTACAATTTCATGGAGGAAGGGTGGCAGGGGGAGTTACACATTAGGCAATGTTATAACACTCACATCAGCTTAAAATGTTAGAAACCGATTCATCCTGCAGAATCAAGAAGTCCTTTATGTAGGGCCTGTCTGACAGCATGAAGTAGGCTAATAAAATCTCAATAATTGTTCACTTTAATGTTACCACTTTTACAAATTTTATGTTTTTCAGGTTTCTACCTTTAATTATGTAAGGGTCATAAACAGGCCTTTGCAGAACTTAATGGCACGCTGAGCAGGTAATCCAACCATTTGCTACAAGTTTGTTGGAGCAAGAGTACAATCAAAAAGCAGGAAGACTAACCCATCAGGGGGGGCAGAGTAAATGAGAAGTTTTAGCAAAAAAGAGAAGAGGCCCATTTTGAAACTGCAAAAAGCAAATAAACAGCGACTTTTCTAATTAGTACGATAAGATAATCTTTTATCACTTAGTATTGAAGTAGAAATTCAAGTTGTCACAGCAAAAAAGTGGACTTTACAAAACAAGAGCAAATGCTTCATAAAACATTCAATTATGCACAGTATTTACACAATAGATCTAATCCACACTTATCCACTCACAATAAAACAGTAATTCATGCAGCAGCAGCAGTGAAGCCAACCGAAAGCATCCAGGTCACCTGGCTTCCTCCCACCGTGCAATCTGCTCTGGATCTGCAAAATGCACAAATACACACACGACCCATGAACGCATCGTACATGCAACACATCCACCATGCTGAGAAAGAGACTGAACAGAAATATGGAAGATGAGTGTGTGGAGTTGTCTGAGTCTGTGCCAGTTCCTCAGTTGTTCTTCAACTCCAGTAAAAAGATGCGAGAGAAGAAGCTGCTAATGAGACATGAAGCGTTAAATTCTTGTCATGCACATAATGGGGCAAAAAAAAGGATGCCAAGCACACACTTCCTCTGGAGGAACACTGTTCAGACTTTGCCTCAGGCATGATATCCACTTATCATTTTATAAGCAATTAACAAAGTAGAGCATTTTTTTCTAAATTGCTTCAGTTTTTTTTTTTGTTTTTAGTTAGAGAAAATAGCTGCTGAAATCTTTGACTGGGGAAGAATAAACTCTTGCGGTTAGCATAATTAATAAAAAAGTTCAACTAAAAGAGTAAGCCCTCTTGACAAAACGCAACCCTCAAGCAACGTTTTGACCACGATGTGCTAATTTTGTACCACAAAGAAGTGAGACATAGTTGGGTCCCCAAAAAGCCGTTTGTAAAAAGCTGGTGTCTTAGCAACACTGACTGCATTCAGAGCAGATTCAGCTTTAACGGATCGATACCAGATGACACACCAGAACTTAGCAAAGACAGCCGTAAATGGACAACACTAAACATCTGCCACCATCTCATTCTTCTCGATCAATGTAAGTGGTATGTGTGTCCAAACAGTGGGAGTCTTTGTGAAAACGACATGTATTGATCGCTTGGGGGGGTTCTTGATGGTAAGCACTGAGTGCGATTGATTTGAACTGAAAAGCAGGTTTAAATGTGTAGTCACTATCACACTGAGGATTTTGTTGTTTTTTCTTTTTTTTTTTTTTGGACACAGAAGATTAACATTTTACTCCTAACCCTCAGTGATTACCAGAGACACAAGGTACTGCATGGACACGGAGGAGCACAGCAGGCCAAGCGAATGACAGCTGAAATTTAAAAGGCCAGTCTGTGTTACGCCTGAAAGAAAAAGAGCCAACCAGCTAAAGTAAAACATGTTTTTAAGCTTCCGCTGAGGTTTTCCGGCTAGTAATAGTCATTTATGATTTGTAGCTTGGGAGTTGTAGATCTGACTATAAACTTGAATATCAAAGTAATCTTTTCATAATTTTTAAGAAGGGTATAAAATGTCCAGTCAATATCAGTTACATAAAAGATGTTGTAATTTCCTAGCACCAAATGTTGCCCTTTAGGCAAACGGCTCAGTTTCAGCCTGCTGGGTTTTGGCCTCAGTGCAGCTGATGCCACAAATGCAGAACAATGCTGAGTTTGGGGGAGAAATATGAGAGGACAATTCATTGTTCCGTTGAAGACCACCATGAATATGTGCCTGCGGTTTAAGTAGAAATGACTTAGTTTATAAACTCACTGTCCCTTTTTGCATTCAGAGCTAAAACTCAGTACTACTTTACTGATATTCCTCAACATTTTCTTTTGTCAATTCACAAAAAGAGCTGTAATTTCAGCAGAAAAAGCTTCACACTGATGGCGTAGCAAACAAATACAGATCCTGTGGTCAGCAGGTGTATTTTAAGACAAGAGGGCCTGACTGTGTATCACTGGTGGGCATTTGGAGAACCTTTACCTCCTTCCACACTTCTTTTGAGTGTCTGCCTGGAGGGGCCTTACCATGCTGGCAAATGTATCGGTTCCTGGTTTTGCAGCGCTGATCATTCCAGTTGAAAGTGCTCAGTGCCTGCAGTTCAACACAGTTTCCGAAACTGCACAGAAAATGAGAAGCTGTGAGTAACAGTAAACACAGGCCTCACCTGCAGCGCTACTTCCAAGAAAAGAAAGAGCTGTTTCAATGTTGAGCTACAAACATCTGCTCGTTTAAAAATAATTATCTTCATTAACAGGTAGCATTATTATCATTCAACTCTGCTACAAGAACAAAGCACATAAATGTGAACCTCTTATCAGTAAAGATGTCAGGAAATATGTCCTCAGTTCAGAAAAAGAAAAAAAAAAAATGCATCTATGCAGAAACACATTTTTTCACCTGCTGATGTGTTTCATTTGTTTATCTAAGTCCCAATGCCCTTAGCTGTCTGTGTTTATGATGCCCGCCACAGCAGCTTAACTCTGCTGTGAAATATGCTTCATACCCTTGGTTGTCAGGTTGCCCAAAGGCAAAGCTGCTGAATCGAAGGAGCTCTCCTGTGTCCCAGCGAAATGAGTCTCTTGGAGGCTTATATGTCAAACCTGTGAAGAAAAAATACTGAACCATTACCGCTTTATTCATGTGCTATCTAAACGGCCTAAAACAGAAAGTAAACAGATGCAAACTAGTCTGACCTGCTGTGTGGACTTATGTCAACGTTTATTTGATGTGCCGGTGTGAATGGCTGTACTTATCCAGAAGTTTCTCGTTTCAAAGTCGGTGTTGGTGACTTCATTGCTCGCCTCCAGCTCACTTAGATAAAACACTAGGATGTCCTGGACTTTCTGGCTGTGAATCTCAGCTAAAGTTCCAATAAGTCCCTGTTTGTTAAAAAAAAAAAAAAGAAATGCATTGATTCAAAGGTAGTGTAACTGTCTCCATTTATTTGCCCACAGGTCTCTGTGATGCTATTATACTCTGGCCTGGCAGCGAGTTTTGGCCCCATAGTAGCTGTCAGCCTCCGAAGACACCATGAAGCAAGTTCCATCTATCGTAAGATAACAGCTGTGAAAGGGGAACTGCACCTTTTCTGTTGACAAAGTACACAAAGAAAAAAATAATTATATGAACAGTCAGACATGGGTTTTAATCAAAATACAATCTTAAATATTTTTCCCATACTTGGAAGTATTTGTAAAAGCTGATGGTCATCCAAGCATCCAACCGAACCGGATAATGTTTGGTTTATTTCTTATCTGTATTAATGGACTTATCGAATAAGCCCATTTTATTCAAGAAAATGTCATACACAAGATGCCTCTAGAACAGTGTTTCTCAACCCTGGTCCTCACCGCCCCCCCGTCCTGCATGTTTTCGGTATTTCCCTTCTGCCACACACCTGAATTGTATCTCTGGGTGATTAACAGGCTTCTGCAGTATTTGATGGTCATGCAATCATTTGAATCAGCTGTTCTGGAAGAGAGGCACATCTAAAACATGCAGAGCAGGGGGGCGGTGAGGACCAGGGTTGAGAAAGACTGCTCTAGAATAAGCAAAACAAGATTGCAAGATTTAAGTGACATTAAAGAAACAAAATTAACTCATCAACAACGTTGTACCAAAAGAAGGAAACAAATAAACAGAGCTCTGTTGTATCATTATGCAACAATTAGATTTTTTTACCAGTTGTTTTTGTCCTCGCCGTGGAATAAATGCTCACATTGTGACTTTGCATAAGAATAGTAAACATCCTGCACTGGAGAGCAACATGTTTTGAAGTGATTTATGTTAATTTTTTTATGCTTATTTTTTTTGTGAGGTCCTGGATTTGGGGAGTCTTTCTGCATGTTCTCCCCCTGCATGAGCGGGTTCTCTGTGGCTCCTCCGGCTTCCCATACTCCAGAAGCATTCATGCCATGTTAACTGGTCTGATTGCATGGTTATTTGTTTGGATCATGTCTGTGTTGCCCTGTGATGGACCGGCAGTCTGTCCAGGATCTAACCTGCCTCTCAATCAAATCATTTCTGGAGACAGGAATAATCTAATTGATTCTTTCATTGGTATTATTCACTTATTGTTAGTGAGCCGACATCTTAAGACACATAATATCTCTCAATGCAAAATGGTTTCAAAATTCCAAATTAACAACAGAAAAAAATATGTGAGATAAAATAAAAAATAAAATTGCTGGAAAAAAAAACAAAAAATGATGTACACAAGGTACAGAAGACGACAGCTCTTGGGAGGAGCTGGAAATTTGAATCCAAGTTGAGACTCCAAACGAACAGCAGGATGTGGTTGAATGTGTTCAGAATCAGATATAAGGGAGTCCTGAGTCCTGCAGAGGACAGTAAGGGGATTTTATAGTTCCTGCTTTTTGTGCAAAATCTGTTTTAGAGGTGCTGCAGAAACAAGGCATCAACCCCTTTCAGAGACCTGACAGTCGCTCCATAAATTCTTTAAACTGCTGCAAAATCAAAAGCAGATCCTGCTGCACAACTTTCTGCCTCAAGCTATTAAAACTGACCTGTTCCTCAGATTATGTTCTTTACTTTATGGCCATTATTGTGTCTACACTTAAAAAAAGAGAATGGAGATTCAACTTTTAAACAATGTGTAATCAAATTAAGTTCATCCTGTCATGATCCGTGGTTTTCTGTGTGTTTTTGAGTTTTTCAATGTGTTCCTGTTTCCCTGTGAGTCTCTGTCCTGCCCTCCCCGTTGATTGCTCCCCAGGTGTGTCTCATTCCCTTAATTACCCCGTGTGTATTTATACCCACCTGTTGTCTGTGTTCCTCGTCGGGTCCTTGTCAATTGTCAAACGTTTGCAGTCTGCGTCTGTCTGTCCGTCTTCCCAGTTGTACTGGTTAAGTCCTGTGTCGACGTCAGTTCCAGTTGATTTAGTCTTCGTTGTCAGTTGCTACCGGTGCTTAGCTGCGTGCTAGTAGTTCCTGCTGTGCTGCCTGATTTGGACTATGAACTACATTCATCATTAAATTCATCTTCACCATAACCTGGGTTCTCTGCGTCATCTCCTCACCACTTCAACCCCACCTTATGACACATCCAAGTAAATATTTTTTAAGTTGTCATTAAATGTAAATAAAGTAAGTATGACAAACTTAATTTGATTACATGTAACTAATAATTTTTTCTTTAGTTGGAGATCCGTTCTCCATTTTCAGGGTATTTATTCTTTGCTCCCAGTCATTTCTGATGACCCCAGGTATACCCTCCCATTTTGTTGCATCATATTTATTGTATTGAAGGTATACAAATATCTTAACCTGTAATGTTAAGGCAGTTTTTGGTTTCTAAGCTGGCTTATTTTGACCTCAGTTTAACAAGTGAGAAATGTTTTATTTTGGGTTTTTTTTACCCCCAGCAGTTAGTTGTAAAATATAATATAGAGTACAGTACAGGCTGTTAGAGTTCTGTTGCAGCCTGCTGAGGTTAACATTCAAAGGAATTAAAAGAAAAAATAAAATAAGACAAGCTGGGCTCACCTGTGCACTCAGCACCACCGTAGCCAACATCACACACACAGGAGCATTCTTCTTCTTCGAAACGACCGTGAAAACACTGCATGCTGCATCTTACTGACAAACACACAAGGCACATGTACAGTAGATCAAACTGTTCAGCTTTCTGTTTATGAATTATATAACTAGACAAAATATATGCAGAATAACAAGCATTACCCTGACAGAAGCGTCCGGTGAATCCCAGGCCACACTTGCATTTGCAGGATGTAAGATTGAGGCGGCCATGTTGCCCGCAGCTCATTCTGCAGGGGTTCTTTGGAATTTCTGATTCAAAGAAATAAAAACAAGCAGGATGCTAATGCACACAAATCACTTCAGATGATCTCAGGAATAAAATACATTTTTAAGATTAAGTAGTCTTACCACACAGTCCGCCTACGTGGTCCCACAGTCGGAAACAGCCGGACATGGAAGAGGTGCTTATAGGGCGTCACCAGGTGACCATTCGTTTCCCAGTTACCCCTGCATCACCAGTAGCACACAGTATGCAGCAACCCACAGGGAGACACAGTGGCTGGATCGATTTCCTACAGCTACCTTTATTCTTTAACAGCATTATATAAATCCATTGAGGGGCAGGAAATAAAAAGATCCTGCACCTGTTCCTTTTCTAACAAATTATGTAGAATTGCATGTCAGTTGGCATGATTATTTGTCTAATTATTTTTTTTACGTTTTATTGCCTTTTCAAAATAAATGAATAAATATTGATGTAGAGAAAAAGGACAAGACTAACCCTGGGTAATACGCACAGGCATATATCTTCCAGAGGAGCCCATCTCACAGACACTGCTGGATGGCACAGCCCACATGACTTGAGGTAGCCCAAACCAGCTGCAAACAGCAATTGGATCAATCACTTCAAGTCTCTATTTTTGTTTTTTATAAAGATAAAACTACAAGTCTTGTGAATAACTACATTACTTCACAAAGCCCAAACACATATAAGGAGATTTCTATGCTACCTGTGTGTAGTGCCGACAGGTTGCATCCGCCCACTATAGTACAAAAAATATTTTCCCTCCTCAAACCAGGCATCAACGATGATGGAAAACGAGGCGGCACCGTCAGCGGAGAGATGCATGTTCCAGCCAATGTGACCGAAGCTCGGCGTGTGGAGAAGGGAAGCGTCTTGGTTGCACAACGCAGCCTGTTCCTTAGCAAGCACAGCAAGCTGCTCATCCCATTCCTGTAAGCACAGACAGCATTTGTTTGTATTGATGTCTTTTTATCCTGCAGACAAATATTCATCTTTAACACCTAGAGAACAGTAAATATAATGTTAATGGTGAGCAAGGTTTACAGGCAAAACTGGCAACAAGTCATTTCTAGAGGGTGATTTTGTATTTATGTGTTAGAGGCTATTAAATCTATTCTAGTTTAACATAGTGAAATTTCCAAGTTTAGGTTTAATGCATTGGGTCCAGCTCCTGTTCATTTTCACTAACTAATTATTTCTGGTATCTTGTAGCAGAGACATAGAAAGGATCCACGGGATCAGTGGAGGCTCACAGTGGAGACAAAACCATAAGACTTAAAGCCAAGAAATTGCTGATTTATACATTATCAACTACTAAGTAGAAATACTAGATGCATACATAGAAAACAATGTATTACTAATCTTTCAAATATAAAATCCTGTAACCGTTTGGAAATGGAATGAATGCCAAATATGTTGCCTGCACACTCAGGTTGCACTGGTACTTTTTTCTAGTGCAAAAGTAATAAAATAATTTTATTAGAATACCTTCAACAAAATTTCACACTGAAAAAGTGTAGAATACCTTTAATGTGTTTATAAATCTGGATAAAACACCATGTTTAAAATAAATAATCTTTCCATTTAATTTCTTACCTATTGCAAAGACATATGGTACCCATAACAACTCCTACAAAATAAATGTAACTGAAGTACTTTTTGTTATTTTACTATTTTTTACTACTACTATAAAGTGTGTATGATCTTTTCATTATGGGCACATGGCTTCCTGTTCCCCTGTGGTATAAATAGAAATATGATTTGATTTAAGTCCTCCTTTCAAAACTGGAAGGACAAGTTCTTCAACTAGGGTAGATTTTTTATTTTTTTTTATCAATCTTCAGTACTTCAATTTTTTTCTCATTTGATTACCCTGGCACTTCATATTGGGCACAATCTGTCGTTTGATTAGTTTCAATCAATTTAGCTCTACTCTAATCTCATTGGTTATTATGACAAAAATAAAAGTGTGTCCAAAATGTTTTTAATTCAGCCGTGGTGGTGAAACGTATACTCTAATCATGACGCCATGTTAATGTAACCTAATTCATCAGTTTTAGAGTCAAACTGTCAATTGCAGGCGCTTTTCTATTTCCATCCTTGTCTTATTATCGAACCCGTGTGCAGCCCTTATGATCTTTGAAGCTTATAATGAAGCAATAAAAGGTCTTTATTTGTTTGAAAAACAAATAAGGAAGCTAATGCCTCATCCAAGCTAGGAGAGCATTGTCAACAGGATTGTCAACAAAATGTATGCATAATTTCAGCGTCTCTTTGGAAAAAGGAGGAAACAAGTTGTTATACAGAAATGCTTTATGAGGAACAAATATAACAAATAGAGAGCAGAAACATGAGATCAAAGGCCTTTACACATCCTGCAAGAACAGTTTCTTCTCCCAGGGCTGCAAGAACTAAACTTTGTTCTGTTCTTTCCATATACAAATTCTGCTGTGGGAACGACATGTGAGGACTTTCCAAGACTTCTGCACTTGAGTTCATGAGAAGCATAAAATGTCCTGGCCAGAAAGATCTGTTCTTGTTCTTGCCACCTCAAATAAAATTACAAGTTTCTCTGTTCTTGCAGAGTATGTTTTTGCACTGACAAAAAAAAAGAAAAAAAAAACTATGAGAGATGTGACTACTGCTCATGTCAGAAATGAAAAGAGTTGGTTCTGAGTGTCTGTCCCTCCTTTACCATTATGTACTGGCACCTGCTTTCTGCACATATAAGCCGGACAGACAGATGATTTAAGATGCAGCAACTTATTTCACCTCAAACCTTTTCAAGTTCTGCATACAGACAATTTGGCTCGTTGGCAAAGTAAATGAATCTCAAGGAGCACGTCAAATCTAATCTAAAACAACAATTTATAAAATCCTTTCAATTATTTCATGTTCCAGACATAAAAACAAGTGACTGCTTAGTTTCCAGAGGCATAAAAGGTGTGAAATGTAACACCCCTCCAGGTTCATCTCCCATCTATGTCAGTGCTTCACAAATTCATTTTGTTTTCAGGAGATAATTTTTATTTTGTTTTCACCTTGGTTATTACTCTTTGTAACTTAGTTGTTTCTTCTTTTTTTTTAAGTTTGGGTATTATAACTACTTAAATGATTGTAAATAATAGACCCTGGAGCTCCATCACATGCTTTTACGGAAGCAAAGGACATGAAATGTGAATTTTCTAGACCTCTGGTGAGACTAAAAGAAAATGTTCTGCAGCTATGCATGAAACCTTCCACTTAAATGGATTATTTTGACAGATGTGCTGGGTGAAGACATGCACACCACATCTAGGTGCATGGAGGATAAAATGACCTTTGTTTCAAAGATATTTCATAATCCTCCATGAGACTATGAGACACAATAAAAAGAGACTAAGCTATTTGAGTTCTACAGTCAGATTGGATGTGTTAACTTTCTGATTAAATTTAGCTTTTATTGTATTTATGATTAAGAAGAAAGGTTAGAATGTCCGCATTTTTGTAGCTAGTTTCCCGCTTTCCGGCCATATCTCCCGTCACTGCTGGAACACTAGGCTAATCTAAAGCCTCTAATTTTGTTGAAAGGAAGAACTTGTGGTTTTAAAAAAAAAAAAAAAAAGAAGAAAAAGAAGGGAGGGCTGAGCTGCCTCTCATCCGGGCCGATTCACCCTCGGCAGCGAAACGCTCCAGTGAACGCTAAAGGTCATGGCCTGAAAATGCCAACAGAACCACATCATCCACAAAAGGCAAAGATGAGGCCCTGAGGCTTCCAGACCAAACACTCTCCTTCCCACAGCCACACTCTGAGATCCCGTCTATGAACACCTCAAACAGAATCAGAGATGAGACTCAGCCCTGCTACATTTAAGGCAATAGTTCTCAACCAGGAAATCTGACCTGCTCTGACTCAAACTCAAACTCAGGAGCTCAAGTGTCCTGGTGTCTTGTTCGACGTTGGATCACAGTCCCTCCAGGATGTTGCAGTTACCGTACTCATTTTGTGGCACCTTTTTTAAAATGTTGCATCAAAGCTGCACAGCTATATTTTTGTTAAATTGCACATAACCTTCCCTTTCCTTGTCTTTTCCTCATCATGTTGTAATCCCTCCTTACCTGAGAAGACCCTACATCGTCGTCATGCTGCTGACCTCTGGTCTAATGTCTCCTCCCTGACTCTTTGCCCTTTCTATTGTGACAATAAAGATTTATTTAAAATATGTGGAAAGCAACAAAGTGGACTGAGTTTAATCCTGGCACTCACTAAGTAGTATAGTAGTATCATGCAATAGTTTTAAGCCACCTGTTTTTTTGTTTTTTTGTTTTTTTTTTTCATTATTTGCTTACTGCATTATATCATAATCTTTTAAAGTAGTTTTTATCAGTAATTCTTCAGGCTTTAAGATCTTTAAAAGTTGTTTTTTTTTTTTTTTTTATTATGTGAGTTTTTGATAACCAAGTTGGGCAAAATATCCAGCTAATTTTTAAGTTGATTGAGCTTGATTCTTTGGGGGAAAGAAATGAAGTTAATCAAAAATACTGATTAATTCCTTTTAGATGAATAGATCAGAGTAAATCTTCCTTTCAATAGGAAAATAAATTGTACGTAAACAAAGAAAGTCCAAAGGAAAATTTTGAGACTCCTGCAAAAAAATCTGGAGAAATAAAACCAGACATTCAGAGATTCAAAGGAAGTTTGGGCTCCTTAACAAACATGGAATATTTTAAGTCTTTAGTCTGTGGCCTCACTAAGTTTTAGGCCTCTTTGAAGCTCACACTGTCAAAATAAAGGCAGGGCTTTCAGAAATGGTAAGATAAGTGTGATAATAAAAAAAAATACAAACAGAGGTCAAAGGCTTTATGGAAATCATAATGGCTTAACTTTCATTTCTTTCTCTACAGGTGTTGATATGACCCCCTAATACTTCTGGCTTGAAAAAACTTAGAACCTGGAGAGAAGGCACAATGATGAAAAAAAGAGGGAAATTCAGTCATTCTTGAAGTGTTGGTGTTTTATCTCATTCAAAAAAAAAAAAAAAAAAAGCCTTAAAGCCTGTATAATAATCACTACATTATAATCTCCACACAATGCCTTCTGGTTCATTCTTATGTGCAAGAGGCGAAATCGTTTTCAGATTTTCACAAACACAGCCAAAGCCCTGAACCTTTTAACGTTTATCAGCAAAGCTCTTTAATTTGCCTCTTCAGCTCAGCAAAGCTTCCTCTGAGGGTTTTTACGGGGGAAATTACCTGTAATACCAGAGCTGAAAATGTAGGCTGATTATCCACATCCTCTCTTCCTCATTACAGCCTTATCAGTTGAGAGCAGTTCTCTGAGACTGGAGAGCAGTCGAAGAAAGGGGCTCTCTCTGTACGGGTGGCTCTGAGGATGTAATCAACGATGAAGTGACAGTACGCCCTCGCACAAATCTTATATTAGGCCCAGGAGGTATTAAGTCTCTCATCAGCTTCAAAATCCATCATTATCAGCTGCTAATAATCATACACATAGGACAATGGCGCAGATTAGCATTTCAGGGGACGCAAATTTCAGCTAATATAAAACACGCTGAACATTAGAATAATGAAAGTGAGTGTCATTATTCGAAAACAACCTAAACTTATTACTTTTTTTTTTCTTTTTGACCTAAATGTTTCAAACGGAGGCAGGGGAAAGATTCATTGGTGTAATTTTGCAGAATTACCCTTACAAGAGTCTTTGCACAGCTAATTGATTTTGGCTTCATTCAAACTGTCAACTGTTATCAATCAGCCCGCAGCGCGACAGAGCAAATGTGGCACTAACGGTACTGTTTTACATTCCTGAGACTATCAACACATTCCTCTCAGAAGAAATGATCTTCAGTGAAACAACACGCTCTGACGCAGTCAGCGGAGTGAAGCTAAAATGTGAAAATTTATCTTTATGAAGATAGTTGCAACACTGCCGGTCTCATTGTGGGAATAGCAAGCCGCTCAGATCTGCCCACACACATCAGCAGCAATGTTTTCTATTCTGACATCTGTTTCATCAGCACAGCTGACAGCACCCTCATCATCATTACCGTGTTACTCTGCTGCGAAGAAAAAGGAGCCGCAAGCACTGGGGGAGCGTTTCATGTGCCCAGCAGCTGGAGCTGCAGCACCCCCTTGTGGTGGCTGGAGGATCAAACAGCTTCACTCTATAAATTTTGAACAACCAGTGAAGAGAACATGATTTGATGAGCAGCGGTGCAAATAAAAGTGTTGTTATTAGTAGCGCTATTATTATGCTGAGAGAAAAAAGAAACTGTTTTGTTTTGGACTGTTTTGGATAGTGAATCTTAATCCAGCGTTCAAACAGAATCAAATCTTAATTCTGCAGCACAGCTTGGGGCTTCAGGATGTTAGAAAAGCTCCAGCACAAAATTTCAAGCTTTGATTGTTTGACAGCTGATCTATCTATCTTATTTATTAATTTAGCTATTTATTTTTGGATTTCCATAGTTTTGGAGAAGATTGTGGCTCAATAATTAACAAGGAGAATCAAATAGAAATTTGGTTTTCATTCTTATTATTCAGTTAAAAATACAAAATGCTACTTTAATGAACAGAACAAATCCTTACCTGGTTAAAGAAGTTAGAGCGGTATTAATTTATTTATTTTCAAAAAGTAATTGATATTTAGCCAGGACATTCTCATACAACAATTATCAACAATAACACTTCAAAGATAAACGAGTTGCTCAAATTATCCGGCTAACCATAAACAAAATATTGTCAAAAATCACAAGAAATTATATGAAGATTGTCATGGAAAATTATGGGAATTTTACAAAATAAATATTTTTAACAAAAGAATAATGTTAAATCTCACATTTAGTTGACAACTAGCGTACCACTCAAGAGAAGACTGACTTTAGGTGCTACTAACCATCTTTTGCATGTTAGCCGCAGAGGGCATGACCCGGCTCCTCAGCCTATTGTGCTGGGCAACAACCTGAGAAAACCCCTTCACCCCGAGTCCTGAAAGAAAAAAAAACTAATTCTGATTTACTATTGTTTACTCTTCTACTGCTGTTGCTGCAGCAATAAAATGCAAATGGCTCGTCTAAGTGTGTGGCTGGAGGATAGCTTTTGACAAGTCTGTCTCTCAAAGTTCACTAGACTCAACAAATCATGCAACTCCATTTATCTGTATAGAGGATTCGATTTAGAGCATTTAGCACTGTCAGATGTTATAGTAACTATCACGTCTTTAAATATGCTTTAAATCTTGATTCCAACATGTTAAATGCAAAATGTTACCCAATTTCTATATGCCCACACATAGATACACGTAGAAAGCTTTGCACTCTGAGTTGGAGTGTCACTGCTCTGACATTGAAAGCGTGTTTACCATCGGTGTCAGAAAGCCGCACATCTGGTGTCTCCGCCCAGAGCCCGCCTGGTCCAGCTCAACGTTGCCAGCAGAAACAAATTGAGGAGCAGATGCAAGCTTCTGGGAGTTACTTCGGAGCCCATGATGAACTCCCACCAAATCCTTGGCTGTGGCAGCACTTGTCTGGCTCTCAGTTATCCTGCCTCCCTGCTCCTCTCCTCCTCCTCGTCTGCAGCCAGTCACATGTCCTCACACTGGCTGGAGCAATGCACTTTTCAAAGTTTTCATGGGACTACATTCAGTTGATAAAATTGTTCAATTTACAGTTTCTAACCTTTTAAATGTTGCTGCTTTGTAAAAACCAAACAGCAAATCTTAGAGAATGAATAAATAAACACTTTTCAATAAAACGTGTAAGCTGCTTAACTCCATAAATTAAGTGTGTTTGAAAACAAAATATTTTGCTCTGACTTGATTGTTTTATGTAAGTATTTGTTTCTTATCCATATTTTAGGTTTTGATGACGTGAAGCACATTTTCAATTCTGACTGATTTGTTAAATAAAATGCAGATAAAAAAATTGAATTTGTCCTCTAATAAATCAATAATCTAATAATGTTATGCTAGCCTTCTTTAAAATAATCTTATCTATGTTTTATAATTCCAAAAGGATGACAGCAATTAAATTTAAGCAAACTAGAACAGCACATTCAATATTTTTTAACAAAAATATAAAATATATAGGAAATAATTGTATTTCTAAATTAATTAACTTAAATAACTTAGGTTAACAAATTTAAATGGCTTGAGGTCGAGTTACTCATCAAAGGTTTAGTATATTATTGTGATTAATCTTAGATCTTCTTTGATAGACTGATGTTTGCCTGCAACACAAATCCCTGGAACTGAACTTTTATTTTGAAAGTGCAGGTAACAGAGATTGTTTTTAGATTCAGTGCTTCAGCATCGGAGCGTATTATATATAGGAGATAACTTAAAATGAAATCAAATGAAGTCGAATTGGGGTAAGTTCTCTCCACACACCCTTTTCTCCACATCTCCTATTGTAAAAGACATTAATCACGATCTAAGCTTTGTGCTCTGATCTAATCGCGATCTAAGCTTTGTGCTCTGATCTAATCGCGATCTAAGCGTTGTGCTCTGATTCACAGTCTGAGGACGGCTGCAGAGCGGCACCACAGGCTCGTGTCTCTCTCTGTGGGCTGCTTGCTTTGAGGATCCGGTTTCCATCGTTGTCATGTTCTCCTTCATCTCTTTCAGTTTGGTTTCAGCAAGGATCTGTCATACAACAGTCGGTTCAAATCCCCATCTCGGGTCAGTGAGAAAAGCCCACCTGCTGAGACGATTTCTCAGGTCAATCCAGCAACCAAAGGAGTTATTAATGGTTGATCCCATAACTGGTATTCAAAGTCACAGCAGTACAACATTAAACTCATGCTAAAAGAGTACAGAGGTTCTGTCTTCATACTTTTTTGTAGTTATTTGACTGATTTCAATTCTCAAAGACATTTTGTCGCTTCAATTTAATTTCATGTCTGCGTGCACAAACACATTCCTTTTTACTGTTTCATATTTGACATTAGCTTCAAAACATACAGACCATCAGGATAAGTATTTTTTTTAAAACAACCATTCTTTCTTGCCACATCTTTCTCAGGAGGAAGGATTGCTGCAAAGAAAACAACTCAATGCAATGTTCTTTAGTAGATAACGTTTACCAGCTGGATTATAAACTGAATTTGCATTGTGCTACACAAGGATTGAAAAATACTTTATTTCATTTAGCTTAAATATGACTGGCAAATAGCTTCATTTGCTTATATATTTGTGTATAACTGGGCCTGGATTTGATCTGTTTGTCAGAGAAAGTGCCTTGATTTTACATTTACTCTAAATTAGTGCTGACTAATTTGATCGTTTGTACCTTGCGACAGACAGGAGAACTGTTACTGTTTTCCCCACACATATTACTATTTTAAAATTTAACCAAATAAAGAAGTCAATTGATGGAAAGATGTGCCAACAATTGCTGAAGGTCTCATTTTAAATCCTGTTAAATATTATGATAATAATTATTATTTGGGTGTTTTGATGTAAAATAGGGGGGGGGGGGTGTATATTGGAACTGTTGTGGTGTAAAACAGAGGTGTACATTAAAGTTTTACTTTGGCATGTACTGTCATCAAAGTATCGTCACATTTTGCTGATAGTTCCATTGTTATTTCAGCAGGACAAAGATGGAGTTCCTTCTGCATGACTTCAAAAATAAAACATTAACGCCTGACTGGACAGAACTGGTTCCTACTGAAAATGTATGACACATCATGGACAGGAAAAATCGAACGACTACCCCGAGGTCTTCTGGGCAGCTAAATCTCTCTCTATATGTATATATATGCAAAAAGATATGCCCTGCTTATTAACAGTGGAAGAACAGCTGGCGCTGTAGAAAACCTGGGACAACATGCAGCTTATCATAAATATTTAAAAAAGAAATCCTGAAGTTGACGTCTTCAGCCTGGGGTCTTCTCTGCATTTTAAGGGTTGGATCAACAGTCAGTAACAATGACTTTGAAATGCAAAAATGTATCCAAAGATGATAAACACACATTTGATCATTACAAACAAAGAATGCAAAAATAAACTTGTCTGATTTTTCTTTTGTTTGCCGTATATTTTTCACTTTCTTCTTCCCACTGTTTCTCCTTTCCTTTCAGCTGGGATCTGCTACAACCTTCAACAGACTCATGTAGGTAAAAGCATCATCTTCCTTAAGAGTTCATAAAAATGATGCAGAAATGGTTTAAACCGGTGAATGCAGAGGGCAGGGGTGCATGTACAGTATGCACACATGCTCCTGCAGAGGGCACAGCTTCGGGTTCACATACATTTAAGCTGCTTGCATAGAGAGGAAGTGCTCTCCAAGTTAAGCGAAGGGATAATAACATGGTCACATTTTTCCTCCAAAACTCTTTCCCCTGATTGGTTGCTGTAAAGTAAACCCAGCATTCCACACCATTTAGCTACGGCAGCTTTTCCACTCAGGACCATTTCCTCACCTGATGTTCCTGCTCCCTCTCAGGGGAGCTCAGTTCAAGTTCACTCTGCTGATAGCTTCCAACACACCAAAGGACCGCGTACTGGAAACATGTTTGCATCAGCTGTGAATCTCATTGCTTTGGTATATGTGTGCTCTCTCCATCCTGCGTTTGGACAGGTAAGAATCTCTACAGAAAAAAAATGTTTCCGACTAATCTGCAGATTGTGTCGAAGTTGAAGTTCAGTTTAAATAGTTTCAGTCTCTCATAATAACATTTGCTATTAAGGGTTAACTTCTCACAAATTCCTTTATGCTCTGAGGTACTCATGAGTATGATCATGAAAGTCCTCGCTGTACTAAAGAGAGAAAAGCTTCTTTTCCCTCTGCTTTGCACGCAAGCTTCAGGAACAACATGCCACAGTCCGCCAGGGCTGAAATCACGACCGTATCTGTGCTGTGCTTCACTGCAAGGCTGCAAAACATTTCCAGGAAGCTCAGTGTGTCTGTGAATGACTCTCTTCACTTCATTACATCTATAACTGTACCTTCGTGTGCAGTATTTGTTTGTGTTCTCCTGAGATGTGGTCAGCATGAGCAGGTTTATAAATAGATGTAAGAACATGAGTATAATCATTTGGGTCCTTGAAGCAGTATACTGTATGTACCCATATGCTGCTTATTTTGATTTGATTTGTTTAGATTTTTACTGTAATTCCGTGCCGACCGTGGAAACATTAGTGAATTAACAGGAAGCCATGTAAAATCCTGTCAGGCGCGAGCAGAAAGAGGCCTTTGAGAGCAACGCTGTGAACACCAGCCTCCATCTCCGCCAGATGACTGAAGTCTTTCCAAACCTCCGTTGAGTCTGTTTTTTAACAAATATTTGCGTTTCTTGCATAACCTCTGCCGGACGAAAACACTAATTGGTTGTGCAAAGACATGCAGGAGAGGCTGGGCAAGTGGGGGAACGGTAGAGATGAATGAATGAGTGTAATGAAGGGAAACGTGTAACCTAAAAACAAGAATCTAGCCCTCCTTTCCCTCTACATCCACTACCATGTAGTGATTTAACAGAGGGAAGGCAGCAAGAGTCCAGACTGAACCCAATTGGTGTGGTTTTAAATCTGCTTTTCAATGAAAGTAGCATACATGCAACTCTGGAAAAAAATTAAGAGACCACTGCCCTGAGCCCCATTGAAAACCTCCTAGTTTTTCCAACAAATACTGATTTCTGAACTATTCCTGAGTTAAAACATTAGCATCGTTGTTTCTAAATGAATGTGAACTTGTTTTCTTTGTATTATTTGAGATCTGAAAGCTCTGCATTGTTTTCGTTACTTTCTGCTAATACTAAATTTTTGCTTGTAATTTCAGAGGCATGTTGTCAGTAGTTCATAGAATAAAAGAACAATGTGCATTTTACTCAAACATATACCTATAAAAAGTAAAATCTGAGAAACTGATCATTTTAAGTGGTCTCTTAATTTTTTCCAGTGTTGCATATGTATGTAATTTTATGACTTTTACACGAACATTTAATCTAAAACCAAAATTCATGTTGCACATAGGGTCTGTGACTAAACATCAGCTTTCTAAAGAGGAAACTTCTGCTTGTACCTCAAGCGACGACTCTTGAAGTATATACTTTTGAAAGTATTTATATCTTTGAATTTTACCAACATCTTTGTCCCATTACAGCCACAATCTTTGGAGCATTTTGTTGGGATTTTGTTCATAAAAGTAGTGCACAACAAGTGAAGATACTTTTCAAATTCTGACATGCATTTGTATTTACACCACCAATCCTTCTTCCCCAGCCTGTCCATGAGGGGTTTTGTTAATCCCAAAATAAAATATTTATGATTTGATGTAAACTCTTTCATTGTAAGGAATAAATAAGTTTTATTCCAGGGTCACCCTATGTTTAGTTCCACTTATATTCTCACCAGCACTAAAAGTAATCCCACAGCATGATGCTACAACTACTATGTTTAGCACCTTGCGTGTTGACCAAAAGGTTTTGGTCTCTTCTGATCAGAGCACCTTCTTCCAGTGTTTGCTTGTGGAAAAAGTTGCAAATAAAACCTAGAATTTGTTTCATTCAACAAAATTCTGAACTCTATTTTCTAATTCGGCGATTTCTCGAAGCTTGTTGTGGTGAAAGGAACATTTCCGTCCACTTTGCCTTTTTGCACTGTTTTGTGTTGAACTGTTACATAAAACCATATTGAAATGCTTTGAAGTTTGCAACAGTCAAAATGCAAAAAAATAGTGGCTATGAATGTTTTTCCAAAGTACTGTATGATCCACACATGGTCATCTAAATAGCACAAATCTTCATTTTATGCATATGTTTGTGGCCATACGCTGAAGCTCTTTGCCATCTGGAAGATAAAATGTTTATGGCTTTAAGTTGATTTATATGTAAGATTTGTTATTTAATAGATCTAGAAAAAGTTATCTTGCTGGCTCATCGGTCAGTGACAGCAGTGGCTTGCGGTCTCTCACTTCAGAAGATCTTTCTCTGTAGCTAAATATTTATTTTCAACAGACCCCAGAAGGACTAATTGCTGCAATGGAATATAAATAAATTAAGGAAACCAGCGTTTCCTTTGAAGAACATTTCAGAAGAACTTTCTGTAATTTTAAACATTTGTAGTGCAAGCTTTTGAAGAGTTTAGATCACAACATGCAACCAATAGATCCTGAGGTATTAGGGTATATTGCAATCTTACTGAAAATTTGCAACACTGCCGTTCTGAACTTTGCTTACTGCTCCGCTTTGTGCCAGGACTGTCCAAATAGGCAGGAAATCCAAGGTATGCTGAAGCAGGTGCAGAAGCTTTTGTCGGCCCATGAAGCCTCCTGTTTGCAAAGTCTGCGCAACCTGAGGAAGAAAATAAATTTACTGCAGAGCGGTACAGGGAAGCAGACAGCAAAATCTACAAACAGTAAGCTTGAAATGTAGATAGATGAATTTGAGCAAAAGTGAATTTTAATCTTACGTTGCCGTTTTTGTTTAATGTCTGTATTTTTGCAAGGTACTTGTCCGAAACTCGATGCACCCATTAATGGGAGGAAACTTGGCAAATCCCATGGTGTCGGCCATGAGGTCCACTTTCTGTGTGACCCCGGGTATGAGATTGTGGGATCAGAAAGCAGAGTTTGTCAAGAAAGCCTCACCTGGACTGGCCAGCAGCCGACATGTCGAGGTTTGAGTCGAGTCCTGTGCCCTCCAAGCCGAGACATTTCTTTCCTTTCTTCCTCTTTTCTCTCAAACAATCACTTTACTCTCTCATCACTTTTCCTATCTGGCTTTCATTTTGACACTGTTTCAGCAGAAATGCTACGGTTTTCCACATAAAGGTGCATTTTGAATGCGCTCTGTGATCACATTTCTTTTTTCCATATGTTGGTTGTTGTCCAGAGAAAGTCTGACATGGGATATTCCATTCCAGCCTCTTTGTCCCTCCTGACAGCTTCCTGACTTTGAGATAACAGCTCACAGGCTTTTTGATCAAACATGTATTTTCTTTCAAATTGGCAACTCCAAACATTAGTCTTCTTTTGCCCTATTATTTTCTCATATTTCTATCTCATGCATCCATATGTCGCGATGTCCTGGTGGCTCGAGGATCAGGGTTATCAAGTTGCACATGTCACGTGAGCTGCAGCGTTCAAAAGTACCAGCGGTGCGTAACCTCGTCTCTGTCTTCCTCCCTCAGACTCCAATGAGTGCGCATCGTCTCCCTGCCTGAACGGTGGGACGTGCGTGGATGAGGTGAACCAGTTTTCTTGTGTCTGTGCCAAAGGCTGGGCTGGAGAGACCTGTCAAAGCCCTGTGCCGACATGTGAGTTTAAAGCACAACATGCCCGCGCTGCGCATGTGTGGGATTGGTACTTTTCGTTTGCCAGTTCACCTTGATAACAAGGTAGTAAAACATTAAGATTTTGCTCTTGAAATGAATAAATTAATATGCAGCACATGTAAATGCAGTTTAAATGTGACTAATTAAATTGTCTACATCAAAATCTGTCCAAAAGACACAAGTTTCTTCAAATGTTTCAGTTTTACAACCAACACAGACGTCTTTCATTTGCGACAAATCTCCAACAGTATGATTGGTAAACACTATTTCTCTCATACTTAAAGACCTCTTGGGTCACTGAAACCAAAAATGCTATTTTTCTGCACACACCTGAGAGGTGAGCCAAGCAGAGGCATCTCCAGCACTCCCACTTCAAATGTGCAACGTCTATACACTTCTGAGCATGAAAGGAAAAAAAGAGGAATCAAAACAGTGTTCCGGGAATTGATCGAAATACTTTGTCGTTGGGAGCTCTGACTGATCTGTCTGTCCCATTGTGTCAGACTGAAAAAATGGAGTTGACACAGAGCACCGTTAAAGAAAAACTGCATCAAACTGAAAGCCTTTTCTGCGTCTGACCACCACTTCTCATCCCTCCTCTCCTTCAGTCTTCATCACCACAACAAATACTTCTGCTGGCTCCACTCTGGCGGCTTCCACCTTACCAGCTGCCACAACTGGGGCGTACGTTCGTCCGTCACGCTGCACTATAGTGCAGGGGACCACCCACTGCACCTGTGAGCCAGGATACACCATCTCTGGCAGAGACAGCTACAGCTGCACAGGTACGCTCCATAGTTAGTCAAACTCTAACTACAAATGCCTGTTTGGGATGTCTGATGTGTGTTCATTGTGCATTGCAGATATAGATGAATGTGAGCTCTTCCATAATGGACCAGCAGGAAAACTGTGTTTGCATAAGTGTGTTAACACCCCTGGAGGCTATCGCTGCTCCTGTCCTGCTGGGTATAATGTGACTCGTGACGGACGCAGCTGTAAAGGTGAAGAGACGCTTAGGGAGTTTGGAGACCAGCTTACTACGTCCGTGTCATAGAAAATGAAGTTGAAACATCTAAAAATGTGCTTTAAAGATACAGGACAAGCAAACTGAGGCAAAAAAAAAAAAAAAACACAAAAAAGTGACAGTGTTATGAAAGAAGTGGGTGCAGCCTGGATGTAAAAGGAAACAAGGAAAAGGAAAATAACACGCTATTAAAGATTTTATGTTTTTAAACTGTGCCAGTACCTGAAGACTACCTCCTGTATTTAAGCTAACCCTTTTAGACTGAGAGTCAAGAATATGTGTTTTTATGATTATAAACTAAAAAAGATACATGTGGTTTTATTAGCATCTTTTCTTCTCAGTTCGAACAGCATTAAAGTGTTCACTTTAATCACTGAAACTCCTGGCCCTTTTTCTTTCTCACAGATATTGATGAGTGCGCTACCAGGCAGAACAACTGCACAAACGACCAGATGTGTGTTAACACATACGGTGGCTTCCAGTGTGTTCGGGTGGACTGCCCCAAAATCCCTCATGCAACATATGTCAAAACATCACCCATGTGAGAAAAACCTTGAACACTGTCTCTAAAAATCAAGTAAAAGTCGGTCTATTTCTATTTAGTTTCAACACAAAATAAGGAAAATAAAAAATTCAGCGCATGTAGTCCTGATAGACAAATAAAGGGTCTGATCCCAGGAACCAAAGCTCCTGTTGTCTTTAATGCACTTTGGGGAGACATAGCTCAGACACTTTAAATTAGCGTTAAACTGTGTTAATAATGCATATATTCACAAACACTTAAATTATTAAAAAATTGATTTAAATATTTTACTATAACACTTTTATTGTCATAAGCATTTCTTCTCTGAAGACGATGCTCAGTCTAATGTGATGCAACGATGGATGAATGACAGCCTAAGTTAACTCTGACAGCAATGAAAGGAAAATACGATATTTAACGTAGAAAACAAACTTTAAATTCTCCCTTGTTCTCTTCCAGGCGTTGTGAACGTAACCCCTGCCCTTTGGACAACAAAGCCTGCTCTCAGACCCCAACCTCCTTTTCCTACCATTACCTCGCTGTTGTGTCCAACCTGTCCGCCCCGCGCGTCATGTTCAGGGTCTCGGCCCTGCGTCAATTGGGCGACACGCTTCGCTTCACCTTACTCGGGGGGCGGCAAGCACGCCGCCACTTCACAGTCCAGCGCTCAGACCGTCAGACGGGTCAGCTGATGCTGGTGAGCCCCGTCCAGGGCCCCACCACTCTGGAGGCGGAGGTGGAGATGAGCGAGCTGGAGAGACGGGTCCAGCTGGGAAGGTACATCACCAAAATCACCATGTTTGTTTCCCAGTATGAATTCTAAAAAAAAAAAAAAAAAAAAAGTGAAATTAATATTTCACGAAGATTGAGAAAATTGTAAGTTATACAGAAAACCAGCATAAACAAGACATAATTAAACTGCCAGTCCTGAATAAAACTGCCAAGCATGCTGTGACGATATGGGTGATGAATACATGATGAGTGAACATTGCATAACTATTATTTTGCTGCTTTTTATTCTGGTTTGAAGACTTGTGTGGTAGAACTTCATATTTATGCCTCGGTGCAATTATTAAATGTCACGTAAACAATTTAAAGTCTGGCCTTTCATTTGTAAAACTTCTTCAAAAAAAGAAAAACATGTTTGTTGAAATCTGTAAATACACTGAAAATAAAGTGAAACATGCTGCAAAAACCAAGGAATGCGTTGGAAGATCTGATAAATGTGAGCTGTGGTTGTTAAAAACCATGAAGTCTGACAGGACAGAGCAAACACTGTTTAGAGCAGGGGCAGCTGAAATTAAGCTGCTGAAAAGGGCTTCTGTGATTAAAGTGCAAGTATAAATTTAACTTTAGAAAAGGCAAAACAAGTAAATGTTCCACGGACCCCAAATGCACCATCTGTGTGATTGTTTCCCTGTCTTTTTTAATGGAAGATAAAGTACCTTCCAAAAGTATTCATAAAGCTTTAACATGGTCACATAACAGCCACAAACTTTAATTTATGATGTTAGTTATTAAATCTGACAGGGAAGCTGCATAATGCAGTGGCAAAGTGTTGCATGAACACAGTGCAGAATCTGATGTGGCCTGAAACCATTTTTCGAAGAAGCTGTCATGATCTAAAGGTGTTTTGGTTTTCATTTGTGTTTATGTGTTGATGATGATTTCCTTAGTGCTATGCTCATTCAGTTTTGCCATATTAAAGTTAATTTCTTTGTGGGCACCAGAATGATGCTGCTGTATAAGGTCATTCTTTTGTACTTTCTTAGTTTAGCTAGGTGTTCTGTTCTTTGTACGTTGGATTTTGTTCTCCTATAATAAGACTTTTATTCTTTACCTCCTCGATTTGCAGTTTCTTTGAGTTTAACTCTCTTGTGTTTATTAGTCTGTCCCTCAGTTTACCTGCATGCATGCTGCCCCAGCTGGTCCTCATCGTCTCTGATTCTCTGGTTTTGTGTTATTCTCCTTAGTATATGAGCTCACTGGTTCTCACTGTTCATGTATGGATTGTTCTGTTCATTATGCATTGCCTTGACCTGCTCTCCCAGTGTTATTTTCTGTAAGTTTTCATTATTTTATTAAAGCATCCTGTTTTGTCACAGTGTCTCTGCATTTGAGTACTTTATAAACAGAAGCATGACAGAAGCAGCAGCCAGAGGTCAGCGGAGATCCACAGCTCAGGTGGAAGAATATTGAGAAGACAAATAATAATGGACTCCACTGTGGCATAGAAGAACACCATGTCCTGGTTGCAGTTTTCAAGCACAGGACAGCAAAAAATTAAGGTTCTCTCTTTGGATAAATCAAACTAAGCTATTTTGCCAAAAGCCAGAAATTATATTTGTGTTATTATCACAGGTATCATAAGTAATATGAGTTTATTGTCCAATAAAGTGTTAGTTACCATCCATATACCCAAAAAAAAATCCCACTCATCTACATCTCACATTTTCTATATTTTACTTCTGCATTGTTTCTTTCCTGATTCAATAATTTCTACACAAACTAAGACTGCCTCCCACAACCATCTATTTTTATTCCTTCAGCTCCAAACCTGTTCTCTGAAATGGACAGCAATAAATGTATAATAATGAGTGATTACAGAAATTAATATCCCGATCTGAACACTGTCATCAGAAAACATTACACTTACCTTGGCTTACCATTGGTAGTGATATTTGGTTTGTTAGTTGGCTTATTATGCAACACTGCCCCCTAATGTTCAGAGCTTAGACGTGACGACGTGCCTGTAATGACTAAATCTAACTCAGTTCTCTTCAAATATTCCAAACAGATGTATATTTTTTTTTCTTACTATGATGAGAAATAAATCATGTTATTATGGTTCAAGGAACTGGTATAAAACACCAGGATTTTCTTTTTGGGATCATTTTCACTAGTGTCTAGGTTGTAGTAGTAAACCTGATTTCCTACCTGCTGGTTGGTGATTCCTGCATCCACTATAGGAATAGTGAGTCTGTTTTCTGTATCTCCGCCTCTAGCACTGCAAAGTGGAGGCTGTAATTCCTGCTTTCAGCTCCATTATGATGATGAGCTACTAACCCAACATTACTGCTGGGCTCCTCCCATTGACTGTCCCCCAACTTCCATTCTCCTAAAAAAAAGGAGAAGAAACTCCAGTGTTATCCTGAATCCATGTTCCAACTTTTCCTACCCCGAAGTAAGTTGTGTTAAATGTTATTTCCAACACTAACTTTTAAAAAACAGAGCATGCGGTGTAAACTTACCCTTATGAACTTAAACAGAGTTAACATCGGAGTTAGAGTGACTTTATCCAGCTTCTTCTTCTGCAGGGAAGGATTGTTTTTAAACGGCTAACTTTAGCTTAGCTCTGAAGATGTTGTTGAAAACAAGCACTCGTGTAATTTTTTTCTATGTACTTTTGTATTTAACTAAATATAAAAAGCTAGCGACCTTTAAGTTTGTTTTTGTTACTTTTATATTTACTTACGGAGTTTAGTCTGTTACAAACAATGGCGAGCTAACTGTTTCCCTGCTAACAGAGCAGCGCTGCTACTCCGCTGGGTTGAAAATAACAGGTTTAATGCGGATTATTGCTTTATAATTAACGTACTTGAAGGAATATATTGTAGCGCACACACTTAACATCTTATTTTCATCAAAAAAAAAGTATGATAGCAGTTTCTTGAGTAATTTCAGACGGGAAATAAATACGAAGATGTCCCACTGTAGAGACTTAAAAATGACTTTTCTTGTCACTTTATCAAAGTGTTGCTGGAAAACGATTTATTTCAGTAAGTAAATTTTACGATTTACTAATAATCATGTACTTAAAATACACAACTTAATTTGATGTTGTTTCCATCCAAACCAAAAATATTTTGGAAAATGATACAGTTTCCAGATACGTTTTGATACCATAAAACCAAGTCGGTAAGTCTACCATTATAATGTTATTTATTTCATTGCTCTGTTTTTGTGCAGCATATATGCATTTGCATCAGATTTTAATTAACTTCTGCAAAACCCAAAAAACTGATATTCCTAGATTTGTAGCTGTTTCAAATATTTTAAATGCAATTATTGTGAGCTATGTACTGACGTTTCTAGAAATATCAAATGTATCAACTGACATTTGATTGTGTCAGTTGATACATATATAACCATTATTATGAATTAATTTAGTAAAAATAATTATTGTCACTCTTTTATGGGTTTCACTGTAATTATTGTGATAAGCAGTTCTCTTCTTTAACATAGTTGTGCTTTTTTTTCTTTGAAAAAGTAATCTCTTTCTAAAAGTAACTTTCTAACTTTAGCAAAAGTCATCAATTCTTCCGTTAAACTTGTTATATTTTTGCTATAAATTGATTTTTAACATGTGGAAGCTTGAATTAAAATATTTCAAGCTGATTATCAAAAAGAATAAATATTAGAGTCTAACATTCAACAATCAGATGACATTAGATAAGTTGAAAACCATTCTCGGTTGATTTTTCTGCTTTTTCCAAAGATGACAAGTACATAACGTTGCTGCGCGGAGGAGGAGGAGAGACAAAATGTCTCCCAAAGTCCCTGCCGGCCAAGGCAGAGGGGACTATTCTGCCGTCCAAGTTGCAGTTCGAGTTCGTCCGCTGCTTCCCAAAGAGCTCCTGCACTGCCATGAGAGCTGCATCACCGTGGACCCTGAGCTGAACCGCGTCACCCTGGGTCATGATCGCCACTTTGTTTGTGACTTCCTGTTTGAAGAGGCTTGCTGTCAGGAGGAGGTTTATTCTGCCTCTGTCCAGCCACTCATAGATGCATTCTTTCAAGGTTTCAACGCCACAGTGTTTGCCTATGGCCAGACAGGCTCAGGCAAGACTTACACCATCGGAGAAGCTAATATTAGTAAGTTTTTCTTTTTTTCTCTCGTTGTAGTACGTTTCTTTAAAATATCATAGTACTATTGCTGTAGCTTCTTTCTCATTGCAGTGCTTGAGCCCAATAAATGTCCTTCCTTTCTGCATTCAGCTTACAAATTTGATACCATGCAGTCCTGAAAACCTACGCTCATGTTTAGGTTCCTTCAGAGACGAGGAGCAGGGCATCATCCCCAGGGCTGTTGCTGATGTTTTCAAGCTGCTCGACGAAAACGACCTCACAGACTTCTCTGTACGAGTTTCCTACTTGGAGGTCTACAAAGAAGAGTTCAAGGACTTACTGGAGGTGAAGACGGCCAGCAAGGACATCCATATCCGGGAGGACAAAGGGAACATTGGTATGGTTCACCTTACTGATTTTTATGGCGCAAAATAAATGCAATGTAGTATTTGCTACTGTAAACTTTATGTCACGTTGCTTTCCAGTGTTGTGTGGGGTAAAGGAGAGTGAAGTAGAGGGTCTTGACGAGGTGTTGAGCTTGCTGGAGTCAGGAAACACAGCCAGACACACCGGAGCAACCCAGATGAATCCAAACTCCAGCAGGTCTCACACCATTTTCACCTTGCATATGGATCAGCGTCGTGGAGGCACTCGGCTTTATGCGACCACTGGAAGCACTGGACCACAAGTGTTGTCTTCCAAGTTCCACTTTGTAGACTTGGCTGGATCAGAGCGGATCTTGAGGACCGGTAACACTGGAGAGAGACTGAAAGAAAGCATCCAAATCAACAGTGGCCTTCTGGCTCTGGGTAACGTCATTGGTGCCCTCGGTGACCCAAAGAGGAAAGGCTCTCATATACCATACAGAGACTCTAAAATCACAAGGTATGTCTGTTTAGGTGATATTTTCCTCGAGAAAAATGTTCTTACATGACAGGTCTTATAAACTTCATTTTTGTTTCAACTAGGATACTAAAAGACTCGCTTGGAGGAAATTCGAAAACACTGATGATTGCCTGCATCAGCCCGTCATCCTCAGACTTCGACGAGAGTCTGAACACGCTGAACTACGCAACGAGGGCCAGAAACATTCAAAACCGAGCCACGGTCAACTGCAAGCGCGAACCGGATCGTGTGGAAGGACTGGAGCAGCAGATCAAAGCCCTTCGAAGGGCTCTGGAGAACCGTCAGCGCTCCGAGACACGAATCATTGCTCACGCCGATCCAAACAGGAGGCCTAGAGTCGGAGAAGCAGAGATCAGCAGGCTGCAAGCACAAAGTGCTCACTACAGGACTTGCACAGACACCGCTTACAGGTCCAAGCACATCTACTGAAGGAGTTAACCTGAAATTGTGATTATAAAACCATTGGTTGTTGGCTCACACTGCAAAAACACAAAATCATAGCAAGTATTTTGGCCTTGGTTCTTGTGCAAATATCTTAGTACGCTTGAAGTAAGTTAAAAAACCACCTTAAAAGTAACTTCTCAGAAATATAAGAGCTTGTATTATGTAAATAATTCCTTAATATTGATTTTTAAAAAGTAATAGTTCCACTTTGAGAGTTTTACACTTAAAACAAGATATTTTCCCATGTTATAAGTATCAAAAATCGGATAGTGGAATTAGTACTTTTTCAGCAATGTAAAGCAATGTTGTTACTTAAAACAAACTCCTGTGCCTTGCTGAAAATGTACTTGATATTTGCACTTTAAACTTGACCAAAACTATCTGGTAAGATTTTTTTTTTTGTTTTTGCAGTGTAAGAATTTGCAAAGATTGAGATCAGAGACCAATTCCTTTGTAGTTTTTCCTACATTGACAGGACAGTCGTGGTTTATAAAACCAAACCATTGAAAGTATTGTTTAATTAAAAATATATATACATGAAAATAAAATTGCAGCCTCTGCTGTTACAGTTTATGCTATGCAATTTTTAAATCCCTATTGAATCCAGATGAACAAAAACGTGAAAGAAAGTGAGTTAATTGGTGTCGATGTGTTTTTTCTTCTGGCCCACTGATCAATTTCTACTTGAATCAATTTGTTGTTTTGTCAGGTGTGAAATGTGTCTTTAATCGTATTGATTTCAGCCCATTTAGCCATTTGGACGACTTGTATTGATCTGTTCTGTTGGTGTGCGACAGGTTGCTTGGGGAGCTTCAGAGCGAGGGGACTTTAACCGCAGAGCAGAGTCTGAGGGTGAAGGAGTGGCTGTGCTCGGTGGAGGAGGAGCGGAGCGGACTCACAACCGCC